CCGACGAAGTGTTCATACATTGACCGAGATATTTTAGATATATTGACTGAGTTTGGTAGACAAACGTTTGAAAACAATTTTAAGAGAAAATTTCTTGAACTATCAAGTTTTTGTTCAAAATTTTTCAAAATTTTTAATAGCTATTATTAAATAGTCGAGAATATTAATAAATCGAAATCGAATTTAATTGTATGCAATTACTTAAATGCGTATTTAAGCTGGTCTGTTGAAAATGATTATATATGGCCCGCTACCTACCGTTTAAAATTATAAACATACATAGTTACTGTATCTTTTTAATTTTAAATCAGAAACAAATTGAAATTTTATAAACTTTATCAGACTATTCAGGGAGTTATGAACTTATTTCAATTTTTTTTTCAGTGCAATTTTTTTTTGCACTGAAAAAAAAATTCTAGCCACATTAATGAATTACATATTTTAGTTAAAATATTATTCAAAATATTGTAGTTTTTTTTTTTCTTTTTCTAATTTTTTAATATTTTAGAGGTTTGATTGACATTTGACGAATCATATATCTATTAGATCTATTTCTAAATAATAAACAAATAAAAAAGGAAGAATAAATAAAGTTATTAAGGATTACTTGTTGACAAAAATTTACCTTGGCCATATTAAATATTTACAATCAAAAGTTAGTCAGACCATTGGCCTGATTTATCAAGTTCGTCTATATGCAAATACAAATTGTCTAAAATTAATATACTTTTTTCTAGCTCTTTTTTTCATTAACTATGCTAATATTACTATTGTATGCTATATATATATGTTAATATTAATATAATTATAAATACCCCAATGGGTAGCACACAGACAACTAAACAGAAAAAGATTCTTAGTTTTTAAAAACATGCTTAGGGAATTATAAACGGGACAAAAAGAAGGGAGCATACTAAACCTTTAATAAGAGATATGAAAATGATTAATGTATATGAAATAAACATTTAGCAGCACCTAATTTTCATTTGTGAATATATTAATAGCCTAACTACAAATAATTGTATTTGTAAGTTTGACAAAAATATAAATAAAAAGTATTTTTTAAAAACAAGTCAATCAAACTCCTTTAAACTGCAAAGGAAATTAAGTAAATATGCGAAATATAAGATTATAAGATGTGTTTCGCATATAAATATTTGCGAAACACATCTTATAATCTTACAAAATAAAAAAACTCAAAAAAAAAAATTATTCATTTAAATTTTACTTCTTAATCATAGTAGTTATGATATATTTAAAAGTTAAAATTTAAAAGTTACTTTAAAAGTTTTTTGAGTTTTTTAAAAAAAGGGAACGGTTTAGTAAACTTATTTTTGCATTTATTGAAAGCTAAAACAAAAAATCTTCAAATATGCGAGGCACTGTATTATAGAGAATTCTGTGCTCTATCTAAAGATGTAAAAATTGTTAAAAAAAAAAAAGTTATTATTGCAAACTTTAAAATTCTCATCCTAGTAAAAAAAAAAGTTTTTTTTAAAAAAATCAGCTTAAAAACTCTAAAATTAAATTTACTAAATTAAAAGTTTTGAGGAAAATTTTATGACGATCAAGATTCTATTTTCAAAATTGAGTTTCGAAAAAAAGTTATAAGCAAAAAACCGAGATGAGTGTTTTTCGGGGGAAAGAGTAAACATGCTTATTGCTTACCTTTATGCATTAAGATGAGCGCGGTTTTATTAATTAATAGTTATTAATTAATTAACACGTAAATAAATATGATAGCCTTTGTTATCTATTTAAAAAATTTTAAAACAAAATCGATTCGTATTTACATTTGTAAAAGGCAAACAACTTACAGTGTAGAGCAATTGCAACTTGTAGTAAAACAAATCAAAAAAGGCGAAATATCACTCAGTAAAGCTTCAAAGACATACAACATACCAAAAGCAACTCTTTACACGTGTGTGCACAACAAAGTCCAATCACATGGTAGTGCTACAATTACTGTTACTAAGTACAGCGTTTGAATTTGTTCTCGTTTCAGTGCATATCAGTTTAGCTGATTGGGGATTTGTCAGAACGTTTGTAGATGTCATTACAATAGTTATATGTTTTTTAGTATCTACCAATCAAAGTAATCTGTTTCCACCAAACGGTATACCAGGACAAGAATGGTATCAAGGTTTCACGAAATGATTGAGTTATAAATTAGGCGTCAGAATAGCATGAAACATTTCTTCTCTCAGAGCTTCTTCTTGTACCAAGAACAAACTAACAAGTTATTTTAATACACTTCAAAAGCAATTTCTTAAAGCAAATATCAACAACAACAGTTCGTGAAACTTTGACAAAATTGGATTTTCAGGCTATCAAGAAAAACAGCAGGTTTTATGCTAAACGCTCTTGAGAATTGTTTGGTAACAATGAAACAATTAATTACACAGTTGGTAATTGTGCCAACGCTACCGGTACCATTCTCTCACTATACGTTGTTTACAAATAAATATCATGTCTGTACAAAAATTGGTGTGTAGGGACACCACTAAACGCCGCATTTAAAACATCCAAGTCAGGTTGGATGGAAAAGAAACAATTTATTCAATGGCTTACTAAAGTATTCATACCCGCAATAAATTTAATTTTATGTGATTAATTTGGTCTACTTAGATTGAGTAGTTTAATCAATTATTCAGTTAATTAAATAAAAAGATTTAAAAAAATAAAATTAAAAAGAGCGCCAGAGAAGCAGCTTGCATGGTAGGCCATATTTGTTTAAGAGCTTTTCTCCACTCTTGCACTTATCTACTCCTCCCAAGGCTTATATATTCATTTATTTGTTTATTTTTATACAGTTCTAATATATTCTGTAGACTTTAATTTGAAACTTAACTATATTGCAAAAATTTTAGGTAAATTTTACCTATTTTTTTTTTATAACTTT